ATAATATCTAAACCTTAGAAAATCCCTTTCTCTAACTACAGCCTACTTACCTTCTACCTCTCCCACTCTCACCTTCCACAGGAATGCGCTTTTGTTGTCACAACTGCCTCCAGGTACTAACCTTTCAATCTCCCAATTCACGCCCCTGGGGACTTCTGTTGCTTCCTCATCCCTCTAGATGCTAAAGATCAGTCATTGCAATTATTTTTCCACTGACTTCCATGAATATCTGTTGCTACTGACACTCTTCCAAACTCATTTCACCTCCAGGTCTGGCTAAGTCCCATTATCCATTCATTTAGCAAGTATGTATGTGCCAGGCTCTATTTAAGGTGCTGGTGACGCAAACCAAAATCCTTGTTCTGTTGAACAAGGGGGACAACAGCAATCAAGATGAATAAGTAAAACACGCAGAAGAAAGCAAATGCTATGGAGATTAAAGCAGCATTGAAGGTTGCGATTTTAAATGTGGTGAATCAAAGGAGGCCTCATTAATGTGACATTTCAGAAAATACATTTCCTGCTCTGTGTTACCACTGTATAAAACCTTTACTGGGTCCACCAGTAAAATCTGGCAAAACTCTATGCATAAGAATGTTTACTGCAACTTTTGGCATAACTTCATTAAAAACTGGAAGCAACCTAACCAGTCAGTTACTGGAGCACTAATTGGTAAATTGAAGAAGAGATCTATAGACTATTATGTAGCCATTAAAAATAACTGAAATAACCAGTCAGTTACTGCAGCGCTAATGGTAAATTAAAGAACAGATCTATAGGCTATTACGTAGCCATTAAAAATAACTGAAATAAAAGTTCAATAACATTGAAATCTACAAAGTTCTGTGAAATAAGCAAAATAAAAAGTAAAAAAAATGTACATAAGTCTAGGCCATAAAATGCACAAATATAAAAAGTATCAGGGTGGTTGACATATACATTTTACTAATGTTTTTAATAATTGCTTCAAAAGTCCCATTCAGCCAGGCCTCATTGCTGCTCAGTAATCCTTTTAGTCACCTGTATACTAATCTTCCCCCGCTGGGATTATTTGAAGTTTATATAATTTCCTCTAATGCCAAACATTAACTTTGCCTACTTCATTCTCAAAAGACCTTTTCTCCTTTCTTAGTGATAAGCCTGAGACCATCTAATGTAAGCCAAAACAACCATCATTACCGGAAAAAAAAAAAAAAAAAACCACACACACAACGCATTTCCCCATCCTCTCCAACTTCAGGATACCCCTTCCAGACAAAAGTTTTGCTCTGTTTCCTCCTGCCCTCCTTGGGTCCCTGCTTCAGTAAATCATCCCCTGGCTGCCTACGGTTTTCCACCCACTTCTGGACTAGTTCCTTCCCAACTCCAGCAGCAGCAATGCTTATTCAACCCTGTCCATCAGTTCTCACCCAAGGAATATGGCCCCCAGGGAACATTTGACAATATCTGGAGACATCTTTGGTTGTCACAACTCAGTAGTAGGAGGGGGGTCCTACAATGCACAGGACTGCTCCCTACAACAAAGAATTATCAGGTCCAAACTCAGTAGTGCTGGAGTCGATGAACCCTGCTGAACCCAATGAACCACGTTCTGTCTTCCTCTTCCTCTTTCCTTCAAAGGAGGTAGACCTCCTTTCCAGTCATTTCAACATTTTAAGGCTTTGTGATCTGGTTCCTACTCATTTTGGTTTTTGTTTTTTGAGATGGAGTCTCATTCTGTCATCCAGGCTGAAGTGTAATGGTGTGATCCTGGCTCACCACAACCTCTGTCTCCCGGGTTCAAGAGATTCTCCTGCCTCAGCCTCCCGAGTAGCTGGGA